ATTCTTCTTTTGCGTCTCTTCTTAATACTTAGAACAAGACTTGGGCCTCCCTGGTGTTGCAAGGCGTTAAGCACAGCACTGTGAAGCTATCCGCAGCCTCTGCAGCACGAGTTCCATCCCCCAGTCCACCAGGTAGCAACCCACATGGCGCAGCAGACCTAGTCTGTCTTGCCTGCTGCACCTCTCAGCAGTGTATTTCAGTAGATCCACCTGTACTCCTCCCTTCTGTGTCTCTGGTGAATCCTCTCACCATCCCCTACCTCTGGCCTGTACCCCAGTTCTTGTATACATAAATAAATAAATCTTTAAAAAAAATACTTAGGAACCTCCCTGGCGGCGCAAGGGGTTAAGATGCAGCACTATGAAGCTATCTGCAGCCACTGCAGTATGAGTTCGATCCCTAGCCAGGGAGCTACCCACATGGTGCAGCACACCTCTCCTGACTCACCCGCTGTTCCTCTCAGCAGTGTATTTCAGTCAATGTGCCTGTTCTGTTCCCCACTCTGTCTCTGGTGAATCCTCTCAGCCCCCCACACCTCTGGCCTGTACCCCAGCTCTTATATGCATAAAAAAATAAATGAAACTTAAAAAAAAAATACTTAGAACAAGACTTATGGACAGGGATTCCAGGAGACACACGTAGTGTTGAATAGCATGAACAGATACTCAGTGGGGCAGTTCATTGGTGGTGAGGGAAGTCCCTGAGCCTGTCTGGACTCCAGATCCTGTTACTTAACTATAGGTGGCATAAGTTACTGTATTTGAGAAGCCCACTGCATTTAGCATGGACATAAATGAACTGACTCTTTTCACAGAGTATATAGAGTGGTGGTAAAGAGCAAAGCTTTGAAATCTATAGGTCCAGATTTAATTTCAGCACTGCCACATTCTAATTGTGAGCACATTTCCTGACTTTACATTTCCTCAAATGAAATGTGAACAAAGTCATCTACTTCATATGGTCATTGTAAGAAATATATGAGATAATTTTCTCTGTTCTACCTCCTTTGACTTCTCTTCAATTTCATCCTCTGTTATACATTGTCAGAAATCCTTTAGGGGCCTCCCTGGTGGCGAAAGAGGTTAAGTGCCAGCACTATCAAGCAATCGCCAGCCACTGCAACATGAATTTGATCCCCAGCCAGGGAGCTAACCCACATGGTGCAGTAGACCTCTCCTGTCTTGCCTGCTACTCCCCTCAGCAGTGTATTTCAGTAGGTCTGCCTGTTCTGCTCCCCACTATCTCTGGTGAATCCTCTCGCCCCCTGCACCTCTGGTCTACACTCCAGTTCTTATATGCACAAATATATAAATCTTAAAAAGAAAAGATTAAAAACCAAAGGAATAATTAAAAAAAAAAAACAAAAAGCAGTAGGACTTGAAATCCACAAACATGGTGAAAAAAACCTAAATTTCCCTCATTGAGAGCAACTGACAGGGAGCAAAACAGATGTCAACTCTCATTGGCTCAGTGACTTTCCAGACAAAATTGGCCTCAGCCTGGAGCACCCCCATCAGCACACTTCCTCTTGGCAGGCCTTCCTGTTTGCATTCTACATAAAAGACAAGAATAACAGGGGCTTCCCTGGTGGCAGGGGTCAAAGATAGCTATCATGCTATCCCCAGCCTCTGTGACATGACTTCAATCCCCGGCCAGGGAGCTAACCCACATGGCGCAGCAGACCATTTCTGTCTTGCCCGCTACTCCCCTCAGCAGTGTATTTCAATACATCTGCCCCTTCTGCTCCCCACTCTGTCTCTGGTGAATACTCTTACCTCCCACACCTCTTGCTTATACCCCAGTTCTTGTATGCATAAATACATATATCTTTAAAGAAAAAAGACATGAATAAGACCTCTACCTTCATACAACTTGCTTGTCAACCTCTGTTCTGCCCCAAGGCTTGTTTATCACGGAGAGACATTCTCTTTTTCTTCATCCTTCAAATCCCAGCTGAGATGACATCAAAAATAATCCACACACTAAGTTGGATGCTCTTATTGGACTTATGGGATATAAGGGGCACCCTTGACTGCTTAGCGACTGTCTATGCGATACTGTCTCTTTCCTGAGAGTAGCATCCACACCCTGAGAGTAGCTCACTTTGGTATTCTCAGGGACAGACAACATTGCGGGCACAGAGCTGTCTCTTACATGTATAAATGAATAGGCAAATTCAGTTTTTCTATCCTTTTAAAAATTTCATTATGACATTGAATTCTGGACTTCCTGTTAGGGGGAACAGGATGTCCTAAAGCTGCTCTATAACATTCCCACTAACTGAAATGCTTTCATTCTTTTCATGGTCCCTACTATTCTGCCTTTCTAGTCATCACTCTACTTTGTCACTTCTTTTATTTTCTAAACTCCTGAGGAGGTCTTCCCCCAAAAGAACAGTTTTCTTTCTCAGATTTTTCCCTTGCAGAGCTATTTTTGCAGCTTCTTCACCTCTTTGTGGCTGGCCTGGAAGTTTGACCTTTTACCTGAGCTCAGGTGCTATGTCTCTGGCTCTTTCTCTAGGCAGTCATATTTGGACTGCCTAGTCTTACCTAAGATTCAGTATGTCCAAAATATGATTTATGTTAATATGGCAGAACCCCAACTCAGACTCCTGAGTAAGAAAGAAAGTTCATAGGATTGCACAGTTGGGATGTGAGATAGCCACAGAACAGGAAAAAGCTGCAAAAACCAGGGCCTCAGGGACTGGAGCTGGGGTTTCAAGGCCTGTAGGAGTCTGTCTATCCACCTCCTACATGCTATCTCTTGCTGTATCAGCTTCTTAGGACATGCTGGTCAAATTCAATAGATTTTATTAGCTCCATCTTTATGCATAGCAAATGAGAAGCAAGCAAGCTCCTTTGACACAGAATTTAGATAGTGAGGGCCTCCCCGGTGGCGCAGTGGTTGAGCGCTGGGTTGCGAGGCTGCCTGCGGCCTCTGCGGCGCTGGTTCAATCCCCGGCTGCTCCCCGGCCACCGGAGGAGGGTCCTACATGGCACGCAGACCTCTCCTGCCGCCCGCTGCTCCCCTCAGCAGTGTACTTCGGTCCTTCTGCCTGCTCTGCTCCCTGCTCTGGCTCTGGTGAATTCTCTCACCCTCCCGCACTTCTGACTGTACCCAGTGCATGTGTAAACAAAACAAACAAACAAATAAATTTAAAAAAAAAAAACATGCCTCTATTTAAAAAAAAAAAAAGAATTTAGATAGTGATCCCAACAATTTGCCTCATGTACTTGCCCCTTGGATCAGTCAATAACCATGTTGGCAGGATACCATGATTGGCTTGTGTTGGGTCACATGTTGAGGGAGAGGGACCTGATGCATTTCTACCAGTATGGCCTGGAAAGTAGAGAAAGAATAGTTTCCCAGAGAAAGGGTTTTCCCTAGACAAAAATAACATGTCTATTCCAGGGCCCAGTATCATCTACCTACAAATCAATTTTTCCTTCTAACCTCACTATTTTGCTAAAGGTTATCTATTTTCCCATTGAAGAAATTCTTCCATGGGCAATCCATCTTAATACCGTTAGATTAGTTAAAATACAATTTTATCTTGTTTTCTAATTCGAAATCCTCAATGACTTTTCACTATATTCAAGAGAAACCTGAAGTCCCAGATTTGCTATTGTTAAAGGTCTTCTGTGGCCTATCCTGCCTCCTCATTCTCTTCACCCTTAATTCTGGCCAATTTCCTAGACTCCTTGTCATTCTAGCAATATTCTTGCTTGCCTGCCTTTGCTTATGCTGTCCTTTTTGCTCCCACCTGAAATACTTTTTCCACTCATCAAAAGCTCCCTAAGTTTTCAAGGCGCCCAAAATATTCTCCACCTACATGGAGCTTTCTCTTTTACTGTGATATTCATACTGAGCTCTTGCCCTTTTCTTTTTTTAAAAGATTTATTTATTTATTCATACAAGAGCTGGGGTGTAGGCCAGAGGTGCAGGTAGGTGAGAGTCACCACCAGAGACAGAGTGGGGAGCAGAACAGGCAGATTGACTGAAGTACACTGCTGAGGGGAGCAGTGTACTGCACCATGTGGGTATCTCCCTGGCCGGGGATCAAACTCATGCAGTCGTTGGAGATGGCTTAATAGTGCTGAGATTTAGGGCCTCCCCTGGTGGCATAGCTGTTGGGCGCTGGGCTGCAAAGCTGCCCGCAGCCTCTACAGCGCCGGTTCAATCCCCGGCCACTGGTGAGGGTCCCACATGGCGTGCAGACCTCTCCTGCCGCACCCACTGCTCCCCTCAGCAGTGTATTTCGTCAGTCTGCCTGTTCTGTTCTCTGGTTCTGGTAAATTCTCTCATCCTCCCGCACTTCCGACTGTACCCAGTGCTTGTATAAATAAATGAATCTAAAAAAAAAAGAAAATAACATTTAAGATTTAATCCCTTGCACCACCAGGAAGGCCCCTTGTTGAGCACTTCTGTGCCATATATTGAACACTTATGTACACTTTCATGCTAAGAATACAGTAGAGAACAAATCAAATTAAAAATAAAAGCAGGGGCCTCCCTGATGGCGCAAGGGGTTTAACACCGCACTATGAAGCAATCCGCAGCCTCTGCAACATGAGTTCGATCCCCGGCCGGCCAGGGAGAAACCCACATGGTGCAGCAGACCTCTCCTGACTTGCCCGCTGCTCCCCTCAGCAGTGTACTTTGGTCAATCTGCCTGTTCTGTCCCCCACTATGTCTCTGGTGAATCCTCTCACCCCCCACTTCTCTGGCCTATACCCCAGCTCTTGTATGCATAAATAAATAAATCTTTAAAAAAAAAAAAGACAGCAACCCTGTATTCCTGAATTTTATATCCTGCAAGGGAACTGAAACAAAAATACATATGAACTTAAACAAAATACGTATGATCTTAATACTGGGGAAAACAAAGCAAGGGAAAAAGGGAATAAATTCCAATGGTGGTTTCAAATTCGAATAGGGAGGCAGCTGGGTAGGCCTCACTGAAGAGGTGACAGTTGAGCACATGTGTACCTGGGTTGAATTATGCCTGGAAAGACTAGAGGAGCCGCCTTATGTACTTCCAACCTAACTACAATTAGCCTTTCTCTTTTGCCCCTTTGCACCTCCATTGCTTTTCCTTCAGGAGTTGACCATCAGCCCAAGCAATGCCTAGGACACCTAGAATGTATGTATGCTAATCTCCATTTTCAGACTCAGCTTGCCCAACAACAGATGGCTATTTTGGAAAATTTACAAGCATCCATTACATAACTGGCTCCTGGGAAGGAAAACCAGAACTCTACTCTCCCAGTCTTATCTCACAACCTGTTTTTAAGTCACCTGCCCCAATTCAGTAAATGAATTGTGGAACAAAGTTAGTATGTATTTTTTTTAATATTTATTTTATTATTATGCATACAAGAGCTGGGGTACAGGCCAGAGGTGCAGGGGAGGCGGGTGAGAGGATTCACCAGAGACAGAGTGGGGAACAGAACAGGCAGATTGACTGAAATACACTGCTGAAGGGAGCAATGGGTGAGTCAGGAGAGGTCTGCTGTGCCATGCGGGTCACCTCCCTGGCCAGGGATTGAACTTGTGCTGCAGTGGCTGCGGATTGCTTCATAGGTTGCATCTTAACCCCTTGTGCCACCAGGGAGGCCATATTATATATGTTTTTCCCCTCTCTCTTCCCAACAAAGCTTTGGTAAAATGTGGGCATATATATTCTATTTGTGGTTGGTTCGTTCACGGATTCATATTAAGTGCTTACTGAGTGGGAAACATTGTGCAAGGCACTTGGGGATACACATTATAGAAGAGACAATTTGGGAGGGATTTACTGTCTGGCAAGACAGATGAGACAGAGATAATTCATTGCAGAATTCACTGGTACCCTGAGAGATAATGGGAATTGGGAGATAATGTTGGAGGTTACCAGGATACAACTTGATCGATCTTGGAATCTTGCTGGAGGAAGCAGCCTTATGAGGCTACTTTATGATGGGGTGGGGTGGGGTTGGGTGGCACGGACAGATGAAGTCAGGTAGTTGTAAGTCAGTTGGAAAGCTTGGCTGAAGACCTAGAGGTGGGAGAATAATAATAATCAGAAATTAGGAGAAGAGATTCTGTCCCCCTTCTAGAATATAAGATAGCAACTAGAATGTAGAGGAGTCAAAATACAAGACAGCTATCCCCATGGAATTGTCTTGATAGCAACCATTAGAAGCTTTGGTTTTATTTGAAGCACCGGAGAACCATTGGATGCCTTCAAGTAATAGGCAGGTACACATAGCATAGTAGAAACACCATGGGCAAAACATTTTGGGGTGGAAGGAGAATTGGAAGGCAAGAGACCTGCATAAACGAATCATAGCACTCTAACATGAAACTTCCATGGTGTGGATGAAGCATTTAGAAATAAAGATAGACCATGGATAAACCTGAGCTATATTGCAGAAGATTAGTCTTGAACTTAAATACCAAGACAGAATCAGGAATTTCTAAGTTGGGAAGCTGGTTTAGCTCTAATGAGTGTTCAAGAGCAGCCATAAGTTTTTGGTATTTGAAAGGGTACAAATGAGGTTAGCTCTTTGAGCCACATTGCATAATCACTTTCTCTTATAGTATATTGACAAATTGTTCTTGATATTGGGTGCTCTTTCCCTAGAGGCCTTATTTTTCTGGCACAATATGGAAAAGATGAATAGGGATTTAGGGTTGAATACAGAGATGAAAAAAAAGTAAGAAAGCAGTGATTGAAAGAGGATTTTGCATCGGACTTCAACTCTTTGAATGGCTTTTCAGAGAGATTTCTTTGTTCTGCCCTATTAAAGAGGACAGAACGAGAATAAGACAGACATGAAGCATGAGGAACTAGGGTTTGGCATTCAGGAATAATTTCTTATAAAGCTATGGATCATGGGGAAAGAGAAAGTGGGGATTAAAATAACTCTAGAGAGAAGCCCAATAGTTGTAGATAAGTTTGCATCAAATTGTGCTTGAATACAAGGGGAAGAAGAAATTATGTCTGAAAACTTGTTTCAGCTTCATCATCCTATCATTCTCATCAAACTGCAGTTTTTGAATAAAATCTGAATAGGGTTCTATCTTCCTTAAATTTGATTTTATTTTTATTTTTTAAAGATTTATTTTTTCATTTATTTTATGCATACAAGAACTGGGGTATAAACCAGAGGTGCAGGGTTGGGGTGCGATTCACCAGAGACAGAGTAGGGAGCAGAACAGGTAGATCAACTGAAATACACTGCTGAAGGGAGCAGCAGGTGAGACAAGTGAGGTCTGCTATGCCATGTGAGTTATCTCCCTGGCAGGGTTCTAGTGAACTCAGGCTATAGTGGCTGGGGATAGCTTGATAGCACTGAGACTTTAACCCCTGTACCACCAGGGAGGCCCACACACTTAAATTTTAAAAGTCATGCTCAGTGGAAAGTTATCCCATGTTCATGGAGAGGAAGACTCATTTTTGTTAAGAAGTCAGTTGTTCCCAACTTGGTATATAGATTTAATGCAATCCCAATCAAAATTCCAGCTAATTAGTCTACTGATACTGACAAACTTATTCTGCATGTGTAGATTTACCACATACTTTTAGACTGCTGCATGGTATTTAATTGTAGACCATTATACAGTTTAGTTCCTTACTAATGGATATTTATATGGTTTCTAGTTTTTCACTAATACAACCTTCCTCCCCCACTGCAATAAACAAATACTTGTTACTATAACATAAATTCAGCAATGAAATTATTTATTTTAAAAATGAGTTGCTTTATAGAACCACTGCATTCTCTATGTGAGAATCCTATAAATGGTGTTTATTGTCTTTTTTTTTTTCTTCATTCATTCATTCACCAATTCTGTCTCTCATGTGCCATGTTCTGCCTTGTGGAGATTTCATTTTAGTGCAGGAAGACTGAATATAAAAAACAAGTAAATACATAGTATGTCACATGTCAATAACTATCATAAAATAGTGTAGTATGGGGGTTGTAAAAAAATGGGGCTGGGGACTCCTAAGTGTTGCTAAAGCCCTTGTGGGGGATCCATAAGGTCAAACAATTTTTTATAGTAGTACTAAGAAATTATTTGGCTTTATATTCATGAGTATATTGTGGATTTTTCCAGAGACTATGTGGCATGTGGTACCACAACAGATGGGATTTAGAAACAGTCATGAGAATCCAGTCATCTTTTTTATTAAGCTGAACATTGAAGAGATTTGTAAACATGTAAAACAGTGCTCTTACCAAGTTTTTTTAGATAATGTAGTTATTTTTATCAAAAATATGGTAACATGTCATCGGGTTGCTATTATGTGTAAATGAGTACATGACTCTTTTTTAATGTCCTAATTTTTAGTAAGGTAAATATTGATAGCTCTAAATGACATAAACAAAAGCTCTTTGAAGTCCTTTATTTTTAAGAACGTAGAAGGGTCCTGAGACCAAAATATGTGAGAACTATTGACATATGATAGTGAGGGGAGGAGACTGATTGTGCATTTGAGCAAACCCTGAAGGTAGAGGGGGAATGAGCTATATGGAAGTAGAACACTACAGGCTAAGGGAACAGAAAACACAAAGGCTGAGAGGTCTGCCCAGAATTCCAGAAGAAAGAAGTCAAGGTGACTGCAGTGATATGACTACAAGGAAGAATAGATGGAGATGAGGTCAAGAGAGGAGGTGAGGATCCCAGATCATACATACGGCATGCAGGGTACTTTAAGGACTTTCACTTTTATTCTGATGGAAACGGGAAACTGGTGCATTGGAGGATAAGAAGAAGAGTGTTGTGATTAGAATTTTTTTGACAGGATGATTCTAGCTGTTCTGCTGAGAATAGGTTGTGTAGTGGCAAAGAAGGGAAGGAGGAGGTTATTTCAAGAGTCCAGGCAAGAGATGATGGTGGCTTGGACTGGGTAGTAGCCACCAAGTTGGTAAAAAAAATGTTTGGAGTCTGAGCATATCTTCAAGGTATTACTGTTGGTATTTGGTGCAAGACGGGTATGATGTGTTAGAAAAAGAGAAGTCAAGGATGGCTCCAGATTTTTTGACCTGAATAGCTGGAATGACAGTTTTCATTTATATGATGGAGACACCTAGTGGAGGTCTTTGGAGGGGTGGGGCAGAGCAAATGCTTTTTTTGCCCATGTTAGGTTTGCGATGCCTATTAGATATTTATTTATTTAATTATTATTTTTTATTATTATTTTTATTTATTTATTTATTTTTAATAGAGGCATGTTTTATTTATTTATTTGTTTGTTTGTTTGTTTTGTTTATACATGCACTGGGTACAGTCAGAAGCGCGGGAGGGTGATCGAATTCACCAGAGCCAGAGCGGGGAGCAGAGCAGGCAGAAGGACTGAAGTACACTGCTGAGGGGAGCAGCGGGCGGCAGGAGAGGTCTGCGCGCCATGCGGGACCCTCCTCCGGTGACCGGGGAGCAGCCGGGGATTGAACTGGCGCTGCAGAGGCTGCGGGCAGCTTCGCAACCCAGCGCTCAACCGCTGCGCCACCGGGGAGGTCCTAATTATTATTTTTAAAGATTTATTTATTTATGCATACAAGAACTGGGGTATAGGCCAGAGGTACGGGGACGAGAGGATTCACCAGAGACAGAGAAGGGAACAGAACAGGCAGATTGACTGAAATACACTGCTGAGGGGAGCAGTGGGCAAGTCAGGAGAGGTCTGCTGCACCATGTGGGTCAGCTCCCTGGCCGGGGATTGACCTTGTGCTGCAGTGGCTGTGGATAGCCTCATAGTGCTGCGTCTTAATCCCTTGTGCCACCAGGGAGGCCCTAGAGATAGAACTCATGCTGCAGTGACTCGCAATAGCTTGATAGCACTGAGACTTTAACCCCTGCATCATCATATGAGGAGGCCCCAATAAGAAATTTTTTTGAAAAAAATAATTTCAACATCATTATTATACCAGAAAATAATTATAATATCTTAAAATAAGATAGCCAAGGAATGTTCAAATATAAGGCTGAGGGCCTCCCTGGTGGCACAAGGGGTTAAGCACAGCACTGTGAAGCTATCCATGGCCACTACAGCAAATATAAGGCTGAGTTTTTGTTCTGTCAGCTGGTCTTAGAAGGCTTCCCATGAGACCATTGGTGTGAGTTGAGGGGAAAGCACCGATGCAAAGGGCATAGATACCATGGGCATCTTGACCACCAGTTCATGTAATAATTAGCATGTGTCTTTTGGATTTGCTCTTCCCAATTTAAATATGCCACTTTGCAATTGTACAATGGATTGCTCCAAGGCCCTCCCAATCTTATGACTCAGTAGATCTGACAATACCCAGTCAAGATTAGTAGCTCTACACAAA